ACCCACTTCTAGACATCCCAGTCAACCTTTAGCCTCCCCAGTCCTTGACCCTGCAAGTGTGATTTTAATAAAGAATTGCATTAAAAAGAAGAAATCTACTGAACCTGAGACTGAATACATCCATTTCGTGAATACTAACGATAATGAGGACTTCTTTGAGGATGAAACTGAAGTGATTAAGTCAGACTCCCGGCATGACTTAAACCCTGAGCTAGGAAAATTGAAACCTTTAAATGTCGACAGCTTAGCTCACCCTGATCCTAGTCTCCTCGAGGATAACTCTTTGGATAAAGTCTGCCTGGACGATAGTAATGCGATATCGAAAGAAGCCAATCTGACCTTGAACACATTGAATTTAAATTCGGAAGATCCTGATTTAGTTGTATCACCTACTGAGTTGACTTTGGATAAATTTGATGGTAATAATCTCGAGTTGGAAGTGATTCAATTGAATTTACTACCTGATTTGAATCCCGATTTAACTAACCCCGAATCTCTCATCCTTAGGGTTATACTTAAACCTGATCCTATTGAGGATTTTCATATGAATTCAGAAGACCATAAGTTGAACTTGAATAACGTTGAGCCTAATTGGAAAAATGAGCCTCCTTTTGTTTTATTAGAGTATATTTCAAAGGTTGAGCCATTAGATCTACACTTGAGAGAGTGTGTCCTTGAGTGGCCTTGTCTCAACTTTCCTCGTACCAACTTTAATATTAGAGAGGGCATTAACTCATACCTTCATGACACCTCTCTAACTGTTGTGTCTGTACCTATTAGTGACTCTTTGCCGACGATTTCATACAAGGGCTTCTCCTTAGCTTCGAGTGCGGGGTCGGCCATGAGATCGCGGGAGCTGCGCGGGAATGGGAGTGGGAGCGGAGGTGCAGCCCTGATGGACGCTGGAGTGGGTTTGGGGTCGCAGGAGCGGAGTGGGATTGGAAGCGGAAGTTCTGTCTGTGCGGGACCGATCAGTACCGATTTAGGCGGACGGTGTCGCGCGGTAGTAGCGCACGAAGGCAGATGCGAGAGCGGCGAGGCATGCGTGTGGATATGCGATCGGGGTTGGTTCGTGCGTGCGTGAGATAATGGATGCCCGGCGAATCGCTCTCCTTCCACGAAGTTGATATCAGCAACCGCAGGATCGTGTTGGAGCTGGGACATGGTTGGTTGTGCGTGCGTGTTGGAGGAGCAGAGGAGCGACGGGGCCAGTATGGTAGCCGACCTGCTCATGGTTCTCTCCACATAATGCATGAAATTAACACATAAAGCGTCCATTCGATCAAGTGAAGCAATCACTTGAGCTACCCAAAGGGGTTCATGGCGTCGATCGTCGTCAACAGCCATTCTTCTTCGGCGTCAATCGTCGACCGCCCATCTTATTCGGCGTCCATCTTCGTCGGCCGCCTATCTTCTTCGGCTTCGATTGTCGTCGATAGCCCGCCTTCTGCAATCCATCATTCTTCACAAGCTCCGAGCTCTGATACCAACAGATGTAGTGGATCGTCGGAAGAATTGACCTGCAAGAAGGATTTAATCCCAATCAAGGGAACAAGAGGAACACAAGCTTCAAAACTTCATAAAAGAGATAATATTCATCAATGAGCCTCATTCCTTACAATATCTTGAATATATAGGCTTAATAGAAGACTCTATAACCATACACCTAAGCTAATAAAGGATAAACTATTCCTAAGGATCTATTCTACTAAAGATGTTCCTACATCACATATGAAGCTCAAGCTATGAAGAGCAAGAGAAAATGATAAAATAGCTATGCATATAATCAAATGTTTTCCTGTAGTTTCATGTATTTGCATGTATTTAGTGTTGTAAGTGTTATGTGGACTTCATCTTCATGTAATTTATTTTTTTAGAGTTTTACATTTAAGTCTAAGTCATATTATATGAAGCATGGGATGGCCATACTACTATGCAGGAGGGAATGGTGGTGGTTAAAAGTGGTTACTAGTGGGCCCACCCCCTCGCTCTTTCTTGCTCTTTATTATTAAGATTTTAAATTGAAGGGATGTATCTCATCACTTGGTTTTCAATTGTATTCAACAATATAAAACTGAAATGAAGATAGATTGGTTTTGCTTACACATTATTGGAAGAATTCCAAAAGGGCAGGAGGCTTGGTAACCAACCATTTCCAAGGAGATTCGGTGATCTTCTTGAATCCTCACTTTGGTGAGTAGGCTTTAATTTTATGTAATTTCTTTTTACTGCAAGTTTCTGCTATTACGTTTCAGTGTTTGTAATCTATCAATAAAATAATGCAAAATATAACTCTCTTCATCTAACTCTAAGTTTAATCCTACTTACTAGAGTCGGCCAAAAAATCTCTCTTTGGACTATTTTTGTTCCTCTTGTTATTTGACTGACCAAAATTCTATGATATTCCAACAAAATCTCCAGATCATTAGCTCACATCCTATACTTTAAGAACCCTAAATTAATTTGGGATTGTTCTGGTCGAATTTCTAGAGAACAAATCAGCCTTAATTCTCAATTCTATTTGCTATTCCAATCTCATACTTGTTTTTAGTCGCATATAAAATCCAAAAAAATAATTATAAACACCAAAAAAAATTCCAAAACTTTCAAATCATATCTAGAAAGTTTCATTGATCATTTCCAATTAAAATTACTGAATTCCACCCAAACCATAGGAAACCACAATGAAATCCCTAACACCAGTCTGTTTTAGACAGAACTGACATATATCTTCTTGAGCACATTTGGACTACTTAAACACCTACAATCTTTATCAAAATTTTCATAAATAAACGAGGCAACATCACCTTCAAATCAAGTCCAAGTTTGCTAGATTTAAATATTTGTAGAGGGAGAATCAATTCATAGAAACGGAATTTACATTTATGGACAAATTGCAGGGCTTGTGACCTAGCTCCAAATTTCATCTAGCTTCAAAGTTACTCCTCTATAAAAATTGATAAATAACACTTCTATTTATATTAGAAGAGTCGCCCACATACAACAATTGATCACAACAGTGATCTAAGACCTCAGCAACCCACGCTCATCAATTATCTAAAGCAGGCTAACTTGGGTGCTTTTTTATATTTTATTATTGTAAATGGCCTCTATTTTATTCTTTTGGTTGACTATATATGTGATGGTTGTGTGTTTATTTAGGGTGGGCACTAAAAACACATGCTTTTCCATAGGTTTTTTCTTATTCTTTGCTTGGGGCTGCGGCCTGGAATAATGTTGGTAGGCTCTTAGGATGTTCACTTTTATGCCCATTAAAACGTAAATAATGCTAAAATTAATTATAAAATAATATTTATATATATAATTTGAATAGCTTATCACTTGAGATATTAAGACAAAATGAAATGAAAATCCTCCTTACAAATCTTAAGTATGCAATCCAGTATTTAACTAATTGCTTATCCATAAGCATATATTTACCAAAATTAGAATCAAATGCTTATTTTTACCAAAATTAGAATCAAACTCATTTGTATTTCCTGATAAACATCAAATGTATGACATTATGAGTCATATACAGAAAAAAGTTATCACATTAAAAATTAGATGACAAAAAAATTTGCATTATGAGCTAACATATACACACCTTCACAGTTAAGCATCTTAATTTAAATGGCTAAACTATAAGTCTTTTTCTTAAAGTCAAAAAAACCTAATCTATCTTATATATATGCATTGAGACCAAGACTATGATTTTAAAAGTACTTGGATGAGTTTAGTTGATCGTCCTTTCTAGGTTGAATTATAAGACCATAGATCTAATTGATTTAACCTTAAGTGAGATTTTAAGTTCGTAAGTCAATGCATTTGTTGGATTTAGGTTGAAGCTATTACTTATCAAAGAGTCTCATCTTACATCTAGGATCAAAAGCTGATGTTCTTTTCAACTACTTCATAAGGCATCGTCTTCCCATGCATTTTCTTAATCTTGTGTTGTTGGAATATAGACTCTAATATTCTATATAAAATTACTCAACTTCAATATAAATTCAATCTTAAAATATAAAGCACAACATAAGATGGTATTAAATACCTTGAATATCTCAGATTTAAGTACTCCAACTCTTTTTTTCCTTTAACTTCTACTTGAAATCAATTCTAGGTTAATCTCATTATTCTTGAAATTCTACAAACCAAACCTTTGAAATAAATTTTTTGAAAATCATATAAAAATATTAGCAAATATTTTGATTAAAGAAAATGCAAACCACTATTTTAATCAAATATTTTCTCAAGATCTATATACTCTTCTACATAATGAACTATAGAAGTTTGTCCTTAAACAAAATCTGCATTGCAGAATAAAATCATATTCAATCAAATATATTGTGTGGGGTAAAATGTTTGGGAACATGAAAAAAATATCAAAATTAATTTTGTTATTGAGTTCATAGTTAACTAATATAAGATCTAGTATTTTCAAATTCATTGAGAAAAAAAAATCCCTATATAAATATATATTACTCCATATTTTTCACAAGAAGGCCAGATGTCAAGCCGAATGACAAAAGGAATTTCTGACATAAGTTTGTTATGGTATACATAAACTAATTGTTCAGAAGACATAGAAAGTAAGCCTACATACATATTCAAAATATAATAAGTACATCAGGCAAAAAAGATCTATGATCATGTTACTGCTCCACCTTGGAATGGTTTACATTATATCATCAATAGTTTGTTGACAAATAGGTATCTAAAGCATCTTTTTAAAATTAAAAAAAAATGACATTAAATCCATCTGACTCAGCATAACAATCCAAAAAATAAAATCTTCTTGTTTTATCATTAGAGAATAAAGATCTTAACTCTCGCAACCAGTTCAAAGGCATATTAATGTACATAAGAATGATTTGGATATGCAAGCAAGTGAAGGTAATGCATGAAATTCCTAGGCATAGAAAAAATCAAATTATATTCCTAGCAGGAAACTGAACAATGGCTAACACAAAATCATAATTTTAAATAGTGCTGCTGACCGTGTAATTGGTCCATCCCTGCTGCCCAGGAATGGTCCCTGAGGTCGGAGGAATAATAACAGGCATGTAAGCTGGCAGGCATTGCATGCGAGGATTGGACATATAGGCTGGCCCGTTAGATAATGGCCAAGCTGCAATTCCACCAGCAAAAGGCATGCTAGGTGCTGGCGCCACAGATGATAATGGAGACCCATAAGCGGAGGACCCATTTAGAGCCAGAGGAAATATGGCGCCTGATGCAGGCTGGGGATGGTCAAACTTGCAAGCAACTCCAAATTTGCAGGTTCCAGTTCTCATGTAATATGAGCAGGATTTCTCATCCTGACAAGTTACAACACACAAATGAGCATTTGCATCCCAATATTTTTCAGCATAGATATAACCATTGCAAAACATGAAACATTAATCAGCCTATAAATTCTGGAAGTGGTTGACATAACTTGCTGTTGTGTTTAAAAATAAGGGGAAAAAAGTTCAAAGAATGAGTCACCTGACGCATTGGAAAGCCTAAAATGTTAAATCCTAATGCCCGTGCATCTTGTCTGTCACGTGGATGATGATATTTGCATGTTGCACCGAACTTGCACATCCCTGTTCTTAGAAAGTACTGCAAGCACGATGCAAAAGACACATCAAAGCTTTTTAGAAGTTCATCCTGGCACTATCATAATTGTACAAAGTCATACATTTTACTGAGATCAAGCATAATATTCAAGGATTTGATCATAAAATATAAAAAGCTGGTCTAATCAGTTAAAAGACGCCCGAAAATTCATGTAAATTGAAATTTTCTGAAAAAGTCAAAAAGAAACTAATCTAAAATGAGATAATAAAATTCCTACACATACAAATTATAATATCACAAATTCAAAAAGGTAATATTGAAATTTCTAATACAAAACTGTATCCAATTTTCATATATCCTTAAGAGTATCAAAAGTATTTTTATAACATTTTATATTTCATTTCAATCATTTTGATTATCATAAAATTATATATAAATAAATAAATATAATAATGTTTATAAATTTAAGTAATTGTAAGATAGATGGATATATTATTCAGGTGATGATGAAATAGATGGGGATATTATTAGTAGAATTCATATTGGATGGTCGAAGTGGAGGAATGCGTCGGGCTTCTTGTGTGATAGAAAAGTTCCTCACAAACTTTAGGGAGAATTCTATAAGATGATAGCGAGACCTGCAATGCTTTATGCTGCAGAATGTTGGCCATTAAAAGAGAAGCATAATATTAAGTTAAGTGTTACAAAGATGAGGATGCTCAAGTGGATAAGTGGCTCTACTCTTAGAGACAGGATACGAAATGAGCATATACTTGAAAAGTTTGGAGTAGCTCCAGTGGAATATAAGATTAGAGAGAGTCGCCTTAGATGGTTTGGTCACATAAAATGCCAGCATTCTAATGATCTGGTTAGGAAAGTAGATGTATCAGATTTAACTTATGTTAAGAAAGGTTGAGGTAGACCTAAAAAGACCTGGTTATAAAATATTAGAAATGACCTTTCTTTATTAAATTTAGATGAGAATTTGACTCTTAACAGGACAAAATGGAGAAAAAAAGATTCATGTAGCCGAACCCACATAGTGGGAAAAAGGCTTATTATTGTTGTTGTAATTGTAAGATAATTTTCCTAAGTTTTATTAAATGTTACCGTAAAGAAAAGCAACAATTTTGGTGGTCCATTTTAAGAATGTAGAAGGCATATTTGTTTGGCATATAAGATGGAACTTTTAGGGTTAGATCATTGGATAGTGAAAAGTTCAAGACTGAACAAATATCCAACTTTGTTCGTCAATGTATTGTCGTAAACAAAGATGATAAGATAGATCTAGAAATTTTTAGCTGAACGTTTGTCATATTATTTACATAGACTTTTCATTAAATATTTAAAACAACAAAGGTAAGATATGTTATATAAATATTTTTTTTATCTATGTAAGGTCGCTAGATGGGAACTTTATAGAGATTTTTTTTGAAATGCTAGCCCAAAGCTGAAACTCTATTGTTTAGACTTTTCAAGTTGAAGTTCTAGTGGTCAATGCTTTCAAGAATTGTTGGGTTCTTTGTTTGGCCACCATAAGTTTTGATCAGAAATTAACTTGTTTGAGTTGTTCATTCGCTTAGTAAGGATTTAAACTACATTAATAGAATAATCTCCTTTAAATAAACAAAAATTTGTGGAGATTGTTAGATGGATCTAAGTTGATTTTGATCATCTTTCTTTTTTTTTCCAAGCCAAATTCATCTTTCTTAAGGATTAGTTTTTTTTATTCATCTTTATTGAGATCCCAAAAATTGTTAAGAAGCCATAGTTAAATAATTGAGAATTTAAAATCTGTGTTGCTGCTAATTGCTCATTGCCTCATTGGTGGTGCAATCATCATATATAAGAATTTCTAAAAGCCTCGTCACTAAGGCCATGGGTATATTTATGGGTATTTACAGCTCATGGCTTAAACAATACATGAATATAGATGAAAACATGTGGTATCCTTTAGTCTGTCAGGGAATACGATTACGTTGATAATAGAAAATATTGCCTATCGAATTGAATTGAATATAAACCACTAGCAAATGAATGGATCATAATATTAGTAGAAAAAAAAAATTTAATGGGTATCTAACATAGAAAACATGACATTTATTTAAAAAACCACTGCACTAGTTAACCACAAGGAGGGTTATACAACAACAACAAAAACAAGCCTTTATCCCACTACAAGTAGGGTTATAAATGAACCAATTTGTGGAAAGAAAGGCAAGCTCGATTCATTTATAATTATGGTTGTTTGAAATTGGTTTAAGCTCATCTGGAGTTTGATTTAAATGTAATTATCAAGCAACTTGTTTGGTCCCATTAATGAGTCACAATATTGAGCAACATATTAACTAATCAAATAAAACTTATCGACCCTATTAATGGGTAACACCATCAAGAAACTGGTTAGTTATCCAAACAGTATTATACTACCTATTAATGAGCAAGCTATCAAACTTAAAGATGAGATTTTAATTGGACATGCTACGAAATAAATAAGCATTTTAAACAACATAAATAAATAGCTTATATTCATAACAAAAATAATATAAAAGAGAAAAGAACAAGACTCTCACATAATCACATATTAAATAAATTTGCAATTGTCACTTGAGCGAACATATTATGAAGTCTTAAAATGAGCATATTATTGAGCATTAATTGAACTTTTTAAGGGCCTGTTCAGAAGCTTTAAATAATATTGTTCATGGTTTTTTTTTTTTTAAATAATATTGTTCATGATTATAAATGAATCTAAAACCAAACTGTTCAATTTATTTATCAATGAAGTATTTTATAAAAATGATCAAGCTTGTTCAATTAGAAACTAAATGATAATGAAATATCTCTAGATAAGTTGAGCCATGAATAGGTTGCCGAATGTACCAACTCCATATAGCCTCAGCTACAGGTAGGTGAATATTACTTATTGAGGAATAGGCGTATTCTTCCTGGGTTTGGGTTGTTTCCTTGACTTTCATATAAAATATTTGTAATTTTTATATGTTATTCAATGTGAAGGTGATACTTGTAATCCACCTAATTATGATTAAATATCAACTAAGCATATTCATCAAGGTTTTAAAAATCAATTTCGATTTTGATCGCATCTTAAAATTTTCAATTGTGGAAGCTCCTACAATTTTGTCAATTTTAAAATTTCATTTATATTTTGTTATAAATATTAAAAAAATATTTAAGATATAAAATGAAGAGGATTATCTAATTGAGATTAAAAACACAACACATAGGAAATTTGTAGGGGAGTTCAAGTGGGGAGTTCTAGCAAAATTTTGACACAACTTCGGAATTTTAGTGAAATTTCATTCGAAATTTATGAATTTCACATGAAGCTTATGAGTTTCGTTCAAAACTTCACTTAAAGTCTAAACTCTTTAATTATGGTTGAAACTCTTCAAACTACCTAAAATGAAAATAGTAAGAAACTAATCCAACATCGAAATGAAACTTAAAACCATAATATTCATTCTTTTAAGGGGTAGAAATATGTCCAAAATATTGTGTTGATAGAAAGTAAGGCACAAAGCCACAAACTAGCTACAGATAAGTAGACACAAGTATAATCACATATAGGAAAGGCAAAAGGCCAATTCTTGATTAAATTCCATGCAGAGAGCAAGTGAATATTTTGCTAAAAAAATGTTATAGGCCAAAATCTAACATTCGACCTCCACCATACGAATAAGAAAGCATATCACTTGACCTAAAGAGCTTTGGTTAAAACCATAATATTCATAAGTGCGTGAATTATGTTGGTTTGTTGTGTATATTTTTGAAGGGCTATAACTCTCACAATGCAATTGAGTTATTTTTTATCACCTTTGAATTATAATGATGGATAATACATGTAAATACTAGCAATGCACCTTTATTGCTACATAATAATTGTGACACCTTATGTTCATGTAATTATGTTGGTGTGTTCAATGGATATGATCATCGATAATACCTTTTTGATTTATATTTGTCGGCTAGCTAGACCAATGAGTTTGATATTCAAAGTTACAACTTTTGAAAGAGGGTCGACAGACTCCTTCAAATTGTTGACAAAATTTGATTGCATTCAAAGTAATTGTAAGGGATCGGCATGTACTATATGATATTGTTAATGGAACATTCTTTAAGACGCGTCTTGATATATTAAGAATAGTGTGGATAGTAATTGTGAGTTTAACATTTAATTACACTACAAAAAATTTTGACATGTTTTTTTATGGATTCCACTTCCTAATAATCACTATTTAATAGTTGTTATTTCCAATTCTAGCTACATATAATTATTTTAGTTGATATAATAGTCAAAGCATTTATGACATAATATGCCATATTAATTTGTCATGTTATTCATCATATTGCATGCCCTACACTTCTCTTTTATTCTTAAGAGACTAGGTGTGAAATCTCTTAACTAAAAGAAGCTAAACTCTTACACATCTAAGCACCTTTAAATATAATGGTTGGAATTTCACTATGAAACTCCAAAGTTAAGCATGCTCATCTAGTAGAAATCTTAAAATGGGTGACCTTCTAGGTGAAAGAAGCTAAACTCTTAAACATTAAGGTACCTTTTGGAGTAATAGTTGAAATTTTATTAAGAAACTCAACGGTTAAGCGTGCTCGTGTAGGAGCAATCTTGGGATGCCTGACCTCCTAGAAAGTTACACAAATGGAATAAAACCACACGGCCATTAGACAAATCGAACAACACGTTGATAGTTAAGAGTTTGAGTTGTTATAGTAGGTTTTATCTATCAAGATTACTCCAAACTTAAACTTGTTTCTTTAATAACTTTCATGTTATTAATTGGGCAGTTTTAAGGAGATTGAAGTTATATTCATGTATCGTGTATTACAAGAAGATGATTGAAGTTTTAGATAATAAAATAATCATCTTATGGTTGTTATTGGAAGAATATTTATATAATTAAGTTTCATTAATATTCTTCAAAACAAATTGATAGATTTTATTAGGTTCAAAAGATCCAAAAATTTACAAGGATGGATAATTTATTATTGTCAACAAGCTACTATATGTTTGATTTGACATATCTTTACCAACCCACCCTATCAGATCATGATGCTACCAAAATTTTCAAGATAAATTGGAAGGATCATGATAGCTTTGTACATACTGTTCATGGCCAGGATCATACCACATCAACTTGCTTTCTAGCAAGAACCTTTACTAACCTATAATAATGAAACTCCTGACAAAAATATGCAAGCATGTTATTAAAGGTACTTGTAGGGAAAACAATTAGAGAAGGTTATCCGCAACTAATTTTAACCATGGTTTAAAAAATCATTCAAGGCACACGCATTGAGGTGCGCCTAGAACTGAGGCGCACAATGAGCGTCTCAATGCTTAAGCTTCACGAGTACTAATGAGGCTTAAACCCTTTTTAAATGAGGCGTATGCCTCGTAATATAAAAAAGATAGCTGAATTGGTTATAACTTCTACTTCACAAACAATTTAAAGAAAGTAGCAAAGTAAAGTTCAAGCTTAAAAAAATCAAATGGTGATTTAAATATAATAGATTATTTACTTATTTTAATAATTTGTTTTTTTTATTTTATATTACATTAAATCCAATGTTAATTAATATGGGGAGTTTAAGAAAATGTTATAATTGAAGAAGGTTTAGAAGATAATGGGACAGAATTCAAGAATAATATAATTATTATATACAGAACAATTATGAAGAATATGATTGTAAGGAAGAGGCCATAGTGAATCCTGATCTTTATGGTGTATTTAAATTTTAAATGAGTATTTACTTTGAATCTCATTTTGAACTTTCATTTTGTAATAACATTTAATATGGAAATTGTAGAGTATATCTTTATAATGATAAATTAAATATATATGATGATGTTTTATTTTTATCAATTTTATAAATTACTTCAAAGCTCATGCGTTTTTATTTTTCTATTTTGAGGTTTACGACTCACCTTGCCTCACTAAAGTAAAATGCCTCGATTCTCGATACCACCTTTTTAAACCTTGATTTTAACTTGGAATACAAAAACATTTTATTTAACAAGATGGAAAACATCTCCTTCAATCTTTCAAGATAACAATCAATAATAGAATTAATAGAAAAATATTTTCCACAAGACAAATTATCTTGTAAAATAGAAAGAATTTTCTTCTAGTTTAAGCAAAAATATCTTGTACACTGAGCTAAATTTAACCAGGTACATCACAAGCTGAATTTACCCCATTCTTGTGCAAGTAAACTCGTCATAAACACCAATAAATAGGTTTACCTTGTTTAAGCTTACTTAAAAAAATGATGGGATTTACAAACATGGCTTAGGCTTCTTCCAACTAGCAAGTGAATGAACTTATTTGACTCATAAACAAACCAAGTATCAAGCTGCGCATCAAAATTGCTAGTTCATTTACAATTCCAAATCCTTAGCACATCTTTACATAAAGAAGACTATAGTGTCGGTTGCATGAAGCAGAATCTTGGTAATCTTTCATGTGATTACATGCTTTAGGATACCTTTGTGCCGATCATAAAATATAAGAAGCTAAACTTATTAAAGGTCGCAATATTATTCATTATAACTATAGCGAAACATTGCATTGTATTTGATAACTGCCATTAAAATATTTACCAGGATAAAAGCATAACCTTTTATGAGATTTACACAACCGAGAACAAGCACAATTTCAACAAACAACATAACAGGAAATTAATCAGGTCGAGATGATTTACCTGACAATCAGGCTGACCAACTCTTTCTGGAAGTTCACCTTTTGCCCGAGTCCCCTGAAGAAACCAATGCAGAGGTATTATATTAGCATTTAATCTTAAATACAATAGTACATGCTATATACATATTTATCTGAAAGCAAACCCTAACGAAGATTAAGAAGCCCAAGGTATCTCAAATGAATTTAGAGTTTCAAACACCTGTCAAATATTACCAGGAGGCAAATCTATGAATATTAGCCTCACCTGCCCAACGTAAGTTGGGTGATTATAGCGGCAGCTGCTTCCATATCCACACGATCCTGTCTTCATGTAGTGCATGCAATCAGGCTCTCCAGGGCGATCGGGATATGGATTTGCATACGCATCAACTTCATCATAATTATCCTCAACTTTTAACCGCCGCATAGATTCTGCAAAGAAAGATCATCATTAAACAACACCAACTTTTACTTCCGCAGTCCCCACATCCTACCCACCCTAAACCCATTACCAACCAGTTAAATCTCCAAACCCGTCTTGTTCTTCCTTTTCACGTCTTGCTAGCCCGTGTTATATTGATTAAAACAGGAAATAACCACCAAAACATGATACGACAACCGCAAAAGCAAAGCGAAGAGACACCAAACTTACCATCTATATTATGATTCACGGGGGAGGCATTCGAATACGTCGGAAGTGCATTGTTCTGAAACTCCCGTGTATCCGGCATCGGTAACGCGATCAAAGCTCGACTTCCTCTTTCAAAGGACACAAACAACTTCCTTCCACCACCAAAACCGTCCGACAAAAGCAAAAAACTATGGAATCCCCAGATCAAATCAGCACTATCCCTGTCTGGAAATCTCGATCTCTTCAAGCCCCAAATCCACTCGTCTATTACCTCGGATCATCGGATGCTTCTCCACTCTTGCATTCAGCCATCAAACATCCAAGTCGGCGAGGATCGACAAGGAATCTAACGCTCTCCTGCTCAGATGCTTCCGCCTAAAAAGCATCGAATTCGAAGATCACCCCAGACATGTCTGCAAATCTCGATGGTTCTCCCCCTCTCTCTCTCTCTCTCTCTCTCTTATGCCTCCGAATTCAACACGAGGAATTTTGGGAACGGCCTTCCCTGTTTGCCATAATTTTATAATTTCTTCTAAGAGAAAATATCAAAATAACAGATTTTTTGTAAACTTTCGTATTTTTACACATTGAATACAATAATAAAAAAGCGGGTATGCACATAGATACACTGATACTGTCACTTTTTGCTAATTAAATTAATTTACGAACTAAAGCTCTTAATTTTGAACTTATTACCACGATGCATGTACTTTAATGGAAATTTTTATTTTATTTTCTTACATAAAAGCGAGATAGAAAGACGAGGGTCGCCGTAATCGCGCGCGAATTCGCTCGAGACAAACGCGGCGCTCGCGTCATCAGACCATCCCGCCTTGTGGACCCCACAACAGCCCTGCTTTTCGGGCACCGACGTGTCCGGATCTCAGTGGAGGCCAAGTCGGGTCCCCCGTCGTCGAACCGACCAGCTACGATCCCCTTTCCCCCGCCGCAGCGTTTCAGCCCATTACATACTCGACACGTGGAATCCCTACCCGGTTCTCCTGGACCGGGAGATTACTTGCTCATCACGAAGGCACGTAAGCGAATCTCAGCCGTCCGATGTTTTAGACGATCGACGCTAGGAACACGTTCGCTGGAGTTGTGGCCGGTACGTAACGTCCGACTGAACCGAAACCGACACGTCGTTGTTGTGGGGCGATCTGGAGCGTTGGTGTCGGTGTACCTGCGGAATATCGGGAAGGCCTCGTCGAGGAAAACGGATTACCGATATCACACGTCTGATGTGACGTTGCGGAGCCACTGAATTCTCGCTTGCTCGACACTCGCGTGAACGATTAACCACCTCTTGCCCTTCGTTGCCTCTTGCCCCACACTTTGTATTTTTTCACGCTAATTATATTTCTATATATAGTTTCGTTTTGTTGTCATTTTATTTTGGCCACTCGGATTCTCTATTTTTTGGGGCCAAAGGGCTTATATTTAGACATCTAAGCAATAAATCTAATTAATGTAATGGAAGATAAATATATTATCAAAAGAGGAAAAAATATATGAAGCTATTTTTTTTTTTTTTTGGAAAAATTGAGGGCATAGCTCATTTTATTGATAACAAAATGAATTACATACTCAAAAGTTCAGACCTAACAACATGAAATAACTAAAAAGGAACTACAAACAGTTACATCACAAATTTGAAAGAAACAGTAAAAACAGACAATCAAAACATAAAATTTGACCAGATGACATATGATTTGAAAAGACAAAAAGCCTGTGAAGCTGGGAGGGACTCAGAATAGTCTTGGCTTCATAAAATGTATAATCCTTCCATCTTTGGTTGCCTGTGGGCCGTCTAGAAAGATGTTAGCAGGTTGTCATCATTGTCCACAGCCCAACAACCTGCTTGTCGAGCTTTAGATTGCCACAGAGATATCCAACAAATCAGGGTCATTGTTATAAATGGGACGGGCATCAAAGTTTTGACACCAGCAATCCTAGTGCAGCGGATCACATACAAGAGCACCTATATCATTCAAACCAGCAAGCTGCAGCACAGTTTCAAACAAGAAACCAACACCTCTCTTCACAAGTCAAAGATAAAAAAAAAGTAACCATATCAGTAGCAAACCAGATTCAATGCCTCCTTTATCTCATTGCCATTCTTCCAACCCATTAATTTGATAATAATTGCTTTAGAGATATTCTTAACCAGAGAATTGGTACATAAAGCAACAGACTTAAACCTTCTATTGTTCCTCTCCATCCAGATGAAATAAATAATAGCATTTAAAGTAAGGAGGTTGCCATTCTTAATGCTTTTAGACTTATCCATATTATCAATATGGAGTAAGGCTAAGAAAATTGTTGGTCTAAAATAGTACGCTTGAAATGAAGGTATGAGTTTTTCAAGCACCTTAAAAGAGTAATCACATTCAAACAGCAAATGTGAAGTAGTCTCCAAGCTATTGTGACATAAGGAGCAGGATTTATCCATAATATGAATGTTTCTCATAGCCAAAACATCACAAGTTTTTAAGCCTCCTTTAAGTGCCATCCACGAATATACAGAGAATCTCATAGCATGTTTTTTATGCCATACCAAGTGATGCCAGTCAACATTAACATCATTAGCAAAATAATATAAATAGAAATCTTTAAACTTGGCATTTCCCCATGTTGTCCCACTAAGATGATACTTATTATCAGTAGCAATGGGTATATCAGAATAAAATCCCTAATAAAAGAGTTATCAAATACCAAATATTCCATGCATCATGCTGAATCCAGATAGCCAACTAAGAGTTCTTAGCTAAGTTTAGTGGATACATTATGAAATCTATCAAAGATAGTTTCCCCCAAAACCAGTGATCCCAGAAAATAGAAATAGGACTGTTATGAGAAATAAAAATTTGAATTTCTCCCTAGCTATCACAACCGTTTTATAAATATTTTTCCAGAAAGTCGACGCAGTATTCGTTACAGGTTTCCAAGAACTGATGTATCTAGCAAGGCACCACTTAGCAGAGGAGAGTTAGTGTTGTAGCATCTCAAAATAATGCCACAGTTAAAAGCAAAGTTTAAAGCTTGTAAAGAGGCAATACCCAGTCCACCCAATGAATACGGTTTTTTCCAAGATATAAGATGTAATTTTCTGCAATCAGTGTCCCCATGATATAGAAATTTAGAGCACAGCTTACCTATTTGTTTGTAAATAACTTTAGGCAAATTCATGCTCCTAATCCAATAAGCCACAGTGTTAGTGATAGTAAATTTAATGTATTGCAGTCTACCAGCAAAAGAAAGCATCCTCGCCTTCCAACCAACCAATAGCATTATGATTTTTTCCATCAGAGGGGCAAAATCTGACACCTTAGTCCGACCCAAAGATATAGGAATACCCAAATAATTAAAATAATCATATACATTATGAATTTGAAGCACACTAGAAATATCATTAGGACAAGAAACACTAGGGGAAATAATAAGAGAGCTTTTAAGCAAGTTCATCTGTAGACCAGTAAGCTTAGAGAATAGATTAATAATCCTCAAAAGCTTATCACAATTGTTAGAATCAGCCTTCCCAATAACCAACAGATCGTCAGCATAAGCAAGGTGAGATAGCTGAAAGTTATTCAATCTAAAACCCTCAAAACCACTAGAGTCAGAGTTAGAATCTAGGAGACAAGATAGAGCATCCATAATAATACAAAAAAGGTATGGACTCAATGGACATCCCTGTCTGAGTCCAGTCCAAAATGAAAAAAAATCCTTCCAGTGTTTCGTCCAGACATATAGAAAAATGAATATCATTTATACAGGCTTTGATCCAGTTAATGAACATAGTAGGAAAACCTTTATCAGCCATTCTAACAAAAAGAAAGTTCCTTGAAATGGTATCAAAGGCCTTCTTGATATCATATTTAGCACAAAAGAGTTTCATCTTATATTGCTTTTTAAAAAGATTGATTATTTCCATAGCCAATATAGGATTATCAGTAACAATCCTATTAGAAATAAAAGCGGCTTGATTATTCTCAATGATATCAGGAATAATGATCTTCATACGACATGCCAAAATATTTGCAATAATTTTGTGAAAAAACTTTGCAGAGAGAAATAGGCCGGAAGTCTTGAACATTTTCAGCATGAGTTTTCTTAGGAACAAGAGCTATAGCAGTAGCTTTAGCACAGTTAGGTAAGTAGCATTTACTAAAAAAGGACTTAATGGCCGTGCAAACTAAAGGACCCGTAATACTCCAGGTTTTTTTTATAAAAATCAAAGTTAAAACCATCAGGTCCAGGTGCCGAGTTGGAGCATGCATAATTAATAGCCAGATGAATTTCCTCATTGGTAACAGGCCTCACTAATGAAGAAATAACAATTTCAGGAATCATTTTGCCTTTAGGAATAAGACTAGTATCATTTAACTCAGGAGGAGAAGAGTTATATAGATTTTTGAAATGTTGAATGATACTAATATGGTTGCTGTTCTCATTATCATAAGATTGAATCATAGCAACATTGAGAGAACTCACATTAAAAGTTTTCCTTTTCTTAATTTTGGAGTAGAGAAACTTCAAATCTTCTTCTCCATTCTTTAACCATTTAACTTTAGATCTTTGGATAGTCCAAGAAGCATGAAGATAATTGTAGTAGTTAATATTCGCATTGATTCTTTTAAGTTCTCCACACAGCTCCCTATTAAGAGGGTCAATATCAATCAATTGCTGGTACCTATCTTGTGTAGCAGCTAAGGAAGCACATTTAATAGCAATGTGATTGGAAGAATTCCAGTTTATAGCTTTGATCTCCTTTTTTAATAATTTCAGCTTCTTATACAAACTCAAGATAGGATTCCCTTCATCCGGAATTTGAAATATATTCAATAGAATGCTCCATAAATCTAGAATATGGCTACAGTAATTTTTGTACATAAACCGCTTATGAGAGTTCTTAATAGGGATATCTTTGAGAATGAGAGGAGTATGATAAGAAACAAGACTACTCAACACATTATAGTGTGAGTTTGGGTATTGATTAATCCAGGTTTCATTCACTAAAACTCTGTCCAACTTAAGATGAATAGGATTGTCATGTCTTTTATTGAACCATGTATGAAAGTTACCAGTAGAAGGAAGTTCAATCAAATTATTATCAAATATGAAAGAATTAAATGGATATAGCCTATCCATTGTGATATTATTCCCACCTTTTTTCTCTGAATGGAATATGCAAGTATTGAAATCACCAATCACAACACATGGCAGAGCACCATGAGGATTAACGTCTCCCAATTCAGCCCAAAGCTTATTTCTCTCTTTAAAAGAATTAGAAGCATAAACAACAAAAAGAAGCATAAGAGTATGAGACCCCACCATCAAATTACCAGAAATCATTTGAGAAGAAGAAAAAATAGGATTAAAAGAAACTTTATCCGAATTCCATTTAATCCAATTACGACTAGGAGCAGCAAGATCAAAGTTATTGAAGCTGAGTTCATTTTCAAAAAACTTGTCAATAGAGCAAAACCATGGATCCAGAAGATTAGAAGAGATGATACGATTTTCAAGAATATAAATTAAGTC